TGTGTGTGTGTGTGTGTGTGTGGTGCCTTGGTATCCAGCATGCTAGACAAGCCCTTTATCACTGAGTCAACTGCCCAAATCCCTGGACTTGATTTCTAAATATCATCTTTCCTAAAGAAACCAAGGACTGTGAAGAAATATTTTTTCTTTTTTTTAATTAAGAAATTTTCTATTCATTTTACATACCAACCACAGATGCCCCCTCCTCCCTCTTCCCACCTCCCAGTCCTCACCCCATTCACACCTCCTCTGAGTCAAGGTCTCCCATGGGGAGTCAGCAGAGCCTGGTACATTAAGTGGAGGCAGGTCCAAGCCCCTACCTGCCGCACCAAGGCTGGCCAAGGTGTCACACCTTAGTCACTAGGCTCCAAAAAGCTCACTCATGCACCAGGGACAGATCCCAATTCCCCTGCCTGGGGGGCCCTCCAAACAGTTCAGGCTAAACAACTGTCTTACTTATCTGGAGGGCTAGTCCAGTCCCATGGGGGCTTCTCAGCTATTGGTCCACAGCTCATGTGTTTCCACTAGTTTGGGTGGCCATCTATACATTTCCCCATCATGATGTCAATGTCACAAGAAATATTTTATTTCAGAACTGAGAAGGGGAAAGTCAAAGATAAACCTGGAATAATGCCTCATTCCAAAAAGTCTTCCTAATTAGTTTCTGTGAGGCCGCAGAAGTCGAGACTTAGTCATCCTGTGATCTACAGAGTATCACGCTATGGAAGATTGGATGAGAGGGGGAAGGCTGTCAGGGCAGTGGACAAGGCTTTAATGAGGCCGGTGGATGTCCTCAGAGTGACGACAGGAGGCGGGATGGCAAGGGAGGGGGCCAAAGTCTGTGCAGTTAGGAGAGTGACCTGCAGTGGAGGCCCTGCTTTAGAAGAGAGAGCAGAAATGGACAGACAGCCTGGACCAGTGTGAAGAGTCAGGTCGGGGAGGATGGAGGAGCCAGCTGCAGAGAGCAGCAGGGAGCCGCTGTGTGCTGACCCCTTCTCCTTTCCTTGGAGAGGACAGTGATGAGGAGGGCCCCTGCTAGGTGGGGCCTCCTAGACTGCAGAAGGTCTAGGTCATCAGCTGCTCGCTCATGCCGGGACTACTACTGAGGATGGCTTTGTGGTGTCTCCCACAGCCCAGGCTCTGGGTTCTCTCAGGAACCTGGAGGAACTGCTCCTTCCCAGTGGGGACGGGATTCACCACGTGGCCAAACTGATTGTCCGGCAGTGTCTGCAGCTTCGGTGTCTCCGAGTTCTTGCCTTTAAGGAGACCTTGGATGACGACAGTGTGATGGAAATCGGTGAGTTCCCCTCAGGGAAAGGGTTTCTCCTTGTGTGGAAGCAGTGGCATCATTGGAGCTGTCTGCTGCGAATGTCTAGTATGGCAAAGTCTTCCAAACTGTTCCTCATTTCCCCCACCACACTGTTTCATCTCGTGTCCTTCTGCAGACAGCTTCATCCAGTTCTGACTGGGAAGGTCAACAGCCTCTTTGTTTTAGTGGGGATATAGAAGCCACCCACCTGCGGTTTGTTTCCTCAGTGCTGGGAATTGAACTCAGTGCCTCACAGACACACACATAGACACACACAGGCACACACAGACACAGACACAGACACACACAGACACAGACACACACACACACACACAGACACACACACACACACACACACACACACACACACACACGGCCATTGCTCTAACCCTGAACCATGGACCACTAAATCTGTGTTCTGACACCTGGTGTTTCATACCCCTGGCAGATCTACTGTTGATCAGTTGAATATTGACAATATGTAAACAAATGTGCAACAAGCTGTGATATTGAACTGGATCAATTTTCCTGCTGTCATTGTTGAAAATTTGGTTATCTAAGTAAGTGTAGAGTCAACCAGATGAGGAGATAAACTTGTGCCTATTTGGAGTTGAAAGATTTCCTATGTTCCGCCCAGCCTGTGGTCGGGGCATATCTCTCATGTGCAGTCCCACGACCCTTATAAAGTAATCACTCAGAGGCTTTTATTAATTACAAACTGTATGGTCAATGGCTAGCTAGCTCTATCATCTTAAATTAACCCATTTCTATTAATGTATGTTTTGCCACATGGCTATGGCATTACTAGTCTGCTGGCATGTTGCTCCTTGGGCAGCAGGCTGGCATTTCTTCCCTACTCTCCTTTTTTCCTCTATATCTCTGCTTGGATTTCCTGCCTGCCTCTAAGCTGTCTTGCCATAGGTCAATCAGCCTCATTTATCAACCAATCAGAGCAACACATATTTACAGCATATAGAAAGATACCCCACAAAACTTCCCCTTCTCTATCTAATCAAAAAGGAAGGTTTTAATTTTAACATAGTAAAATTATATATAACAAAACAGTTATCTAGCAAGAATTATAGTTACAATATCTAGTCTATTTATATTTAGCAAAATTAGAAAATATTCTATATCTATCCTATTTTGTGAGTCTAAAATTTTAAATTTAATTTATCTTTTATTATGGCTAAGGAAAGCTATAATTATTACTATCTAGTCTTCAACTCCATCAAAGACCTCAGAAGGATATAATATTACCTAATAAAACAGGAAGTGCATTGTAAGCAACTTCCAAAAATCTAGAATGACAGAGACAGCTGGCTGTCTGGACAGTCACTTGAAGTCCTCTGCAATGTTGGGGCGTTCATCTTCAGCCTGTAGGCCTTGAGTTTTTCACTTGCTTCTCCCTGTGTCCTGCAGAATGTCTGGCAGTCTCCTCTTGGAAGCAGGAACATGAAGGACTATTTCAACTTTTTTTGGCAAAATCCAGTGGCCATTTTCCTATGGGTCCTGTATGTCCAGTTTATACAATATATTATCAAGCAATCCAGGCAAGAGCAGTTTCCTGCCCAAATGGCTCTTTTTGCCATAAAGAAAGTTTATGGAGTTTCTTCAATGCCCACCATCCTCTTTGAAGTAATAGATGCTGCCAGAAGCAGATGTGTCTCATTGTTCAGAAAAGTCTAAGTTTTTAAAACATCTTTAAAGCCATATTCTGTAGGTCTTTGAAGTGTTTGAAGATTACCTACCTAATTTAATATACCTTTTTTTGTTTTTCAAGACAGGGTTTCTCTGTGTAGCTTTGCGCCTTTCCTGGGACTCATGTGGTAGTCCAGGCTGGCCTCGAACTCACAGAGATGCGCCTGCCTCTGCCTCCCGAGTGCTGGGATTAAAGGCGTGCGCCACCACCGCCCGGCTAATATACCTTTATATATCTAAAAAACTTAATTAACATGATTATCCTAGATGACTATTAATCTGTATTCCTTAATTATATATTTCAATTTTAAATGAGCTGCATAAACAAAATACCTTAAACAAGAGTAGAAATATACATAGAGTATAACAAAATTAACTTAAAATTTGTAATAAACTAAAATATATAGCAATGTAAAACATTTAAAACAAGTTGTTGCTCTTTAAAAGTAGATTCAATAATCTACCTTTTCATCCTATCATATCTATAATGTCCCTTTTTCTTCTTTAGAAAGAGATTGCAGTTATAAGCAACCCCCTTTAAATAAAAATAAATTTTTTATGCCAAATGCTGTTTATTGGAGGAGGGAAGAGGTCTTAAACACAGACTTACAACACAATGGGAGAACCCCGGAGGGCAGAAGTTCGCTAACGATGTTTTACAATCTTGCATCTAAGCTGTAAATGCCCATTATGCAGGATACACAGAGAAGGAACTTCCCTTAAGCATTTAGGAGGGTGGAACCCGTCAGGGAATTAGCATAGGGAAGATATCAAGGTCAAGGTCAGCAAGCAAGGCAACAGTTACCCAAAATGGGGGCCAGGGCCCTACAGTCCCCCTTTTACTAAAAAATGAGCTTCTGACTTAGTTGCGTGGGATGTCAGCAGGTCACCTTACCCATCATGGAGACGCCTGCCCAGGCCACAAAAAATAAATATTTATAAACAATATTTTGGGAATTTGGGTGTTGTGCCTCCTCCTACTTCCTGCTGATTGGGGATCTCGAGAAAATTAAGAAGTGTAGTTAAATCTTGGCTGTAATAGTCTGTGAGGATGCATCATCTCAGCCAGTTGCTTAAAGCTGATTTTGGATGTTAGATCATCTAGGTCATGGTGTCATTGGAGAGCTTTCAGGGGATCTTGGCTGATCAAACCATATTAGCCTGGAAGCAATACATAGGTTCTCTTCATCTGTGGAAACAAAAGCAGAACCTCTTTTCCAAAGCAACATATCCTTAGACATGAATTTTGAAGTCAAGATACCTTTAAAATATACATATTGGTTTAACTCAGCCCCCTTTACAATCAAGTGTCTCTTTCCAGTTAAAAATCCCAAAGATGCCGGGCGGTGGTGGCACATGCCTTTAATCCCAGCACTTGGGAGGCAGAGCCAGGTGGATCTCTGTGAGTTCGAGGCCAGCCTGGGCTACCAAGTGATTCCCAGGAAAGGCGCAAAGCTACACAGAGAAACCCTGTCTCAAAAAACCAAAAACAAAAAACAAAAAAAACAAAAAATAAAAAACAAAACAAAAAAACATTTCTAGCAATTGATCTCACATAGACTTGGGAGTCAATAATCCATGGACCTCTCATACTCAAGAGTAGATACTTTTCCTCCAGGAACCCAGCACTGGTTGCCTGACACGTGGTAGGAACTCAATAAATATCTGTTAACCAAACAGGAAACACTTACTTTTGGAGCTGGACGTATGGCTCAGCAGTTTAGAGCACTGGCTGCTCTTCCAGAGGACTTGGGTTTGATTCTCAGCAACCATGCAGCTGCTCACAACTGCCTGTAACTCCAGTTCCAGGGGATTTGTCACCTTCTTCTGACCTCTGTGGACAGTAGGCACGTTTGTGGTGTAGGCAAACTACCCATAAACATACAATTAGAAATACTTTTTTTGAGACAGGGTTTCTCTGTGTAGCCCTGGCTATCCTGGAACTCACTTTGTAGACCAGGCTTGGTGGGGGTTGGGGTGGGGTGGGGGTGGGTGATAGGTGGGGGGGGGGGGGGCTGGGGGGTGGGGAGGATGGAGAAAGAAGGGGAGAATGTACTGTGGCAAGTATATAGAAGTCAGAGCTTAATTTTTTTAGTTCTCTTCTACAATGTGGATTCCAAAGATTAAGCTCAGGGCATGCCCAGAAAATGCCTTTACCTGCTGCGCCATCTCACCATGGCAATAGTGTCCATCTTTCAATGAACAGCTGACAGGTTACTCCTGGCCAGTGTCTAAATTCATAGTTAGGAGACAGCACTTGCACACACCACAGAAGCAGATGAGTGTACAGTGCTTTATGGAGAGTCTCCAGAAAAGTCTCCATTCGCAGACTGAGGAATACCCCTGACTATCACAGAAGATCCTGTAAGGACACAGTGGAAACACTTTCTTAAGGCCTCTGTCTTTAAACTCAAGCTACTACATGGTTCTGGGTGACATCAACCCTAGCCTTTCCCTTATTATGGATAAGTGGGTAGGCAGTTAAAAACAATTCTGAAACTGGACTAGACCTTCACTTCCAGAGTCATGGGTCCATGGCCATTGAGAACTCACCATGTGTTGTTGTGGAATATTATTTGAAGATATGTTATGTTTGTTTATGTTGTGGACCATTAGTTGAATGATACAAAGATGTGTTGCATTCTTTTATGTTGCATTTGTTTAACTCTGTGAAGCTGTGTTTCTTTGCCTTCCTAAAATGCCTGATTGGTCTAATAAAGAACTGAATGACCAATAGCAAGGCAGGAGAAAGAATAGATGGGGCTGGCAGGCAGAGAGAATAAATAGAAGAAATCTGGGAAGGGAAGATCAAGGAGAGAGAAAAGAAGAGACTAGCTACTCAGCTAGACAGTCAGACACAAAATATGATGGAAAGAAAAGATATATGAAATAGAGACAGGTAAATGTTCAGAGGTAAAAGGTAGATGGCATATTTTATGTTAAGGAAAGCTGGCTAGAAACAAGCCAAAGTAATGGTGACATCCATAAGTAAGAATAAGCCTCTGTGTGATTTATTTGGGAGCTGGGTGGTGGGCCCACAAACACCAAAGAGTAAAAAGTAAAAAACAGCCAACAACATTTTGGCACGCAATGTGGGGTTTCAATGTCCATAGGGCCTGAGAAAGTTTGAAAAGAAAAAAAAAAAAGGCTCCTTTAAGAAGTTCTGCTGTACAGCAGAGCACATAAACACCTTTTTTTCATGCTAAATGGAAACAAAAAAACTACATAAAAATGTCTGCTACAGTGCATGGCACTGGCATTCCAGAGTCGGGGGATTGAATGCAGTTCCTGGTCAAACAGACCTCCTCCGACAGTGCTGCAAACTTTAGACTTGGCTCTCACAAACCTAGAATCAGGTGGAGCCAGTCAACAGAGCCACACAGAAGACCCAACTCTAGCTTAGTAGTTTAAAATTTGCTCACATGGTCAAAAAAAGGCTAAAAGTTATGCAGTAAAAGAGGTCCAGATAGAGAAAAACTATATGGTTCCAGTGTGTTCTACAATGGGCATAGGCTTACGAAAAAGAAAAAGGGTAAAGTCATAACAAATGAATAGTTTAAAAACAATAAAGTCTTTAAAGAGAGAGTTAAAGTAATATAAAAGAAAGAAGCCATGTAAAATGGGAAATACATAGGGAGTCTGAATCCTATATAGTATTGTGTTGATTTTGATTTATTTTATTTTTGATAAGCAAATGATGGCTATTAAGAGTCCAGGGGGTTGAAAAGAGAGCTAAAGTAAACCAGCCTAGACATTTTAAGAATGGCTTAACTTTAAAGTGGAAGTCAAAAAATATATTTGACCAATGGAAGTTAAAATGCTTTGGAGAAGTGCTTTTGCTTTTGTTTCCACAGGAAACAAGAGCCTGTGGATTAGTTCCAAGTTAATATGGATTGGGTTTGATCAAGGGAGACCTTCTGAAACTTGACAGTGATATATATATATATACAAAGAAAGGCTACTGCTGGTCTTCCCAGACCTTGGCCATTATCTCAATTTTCTCAGTGACCTCTAAAGAGGTCATCTCCGACAGACAACAGGAAGCAGTCTAGAGAACATGATGTCCATATTCCCAAGAAGTGGTATGAGTGGTCCTTGGTTATTGTGGCTTGTGGATGTTTGTTATCATTTAGGAGAATATAGGAATATAGGATAAAAAGACAACTATTCATCTCAGATACTTTGCATTGGCATGGATTTTGGTATATTGACACAAATTTAAAATTAATTTGTTATACTGAATGTATGTTCTACTCTTGTTTTGGGTATTGTGCTTCTGCAGCTCATTTAAAAATGCAATATATAATTAAGTAATGAGGTTAGTAGTTAGTGTATAATAATCAAACTTGTAGTCACATTAGCTTTGTTTTCAAGGTTAAATAAATACATTTAGATAGATAAATGTTCTTCAAAGACTTCAAAGACCTATAGAATATGGTATTTAAAATGTTTTGTTAAATTAATGTTTTTCATGACAATGAGACACATCTGCTCCTGGCAGCACCAATTTACTTCATAAAAGGATGATGGGCATTGAAGAAACTGCACATGGAGTTTGCGTTCAATATGGCAAGTCTAGCCATTTGGGCAAGGAACTGCTTTGCCTTGACTGCTGACAATATGCTATATAAACTGGACATGCAGGATACTCAGGAAAGTGACTGTTGAAATTTGCCAATACAAGGCAGGATAGTCTTTCAAAATTCCTGCTTCATAGAAGAGTCTGCCAGATACTCTGCCTGTAGGCTGAAGATGAATGTGCAGATGTTGTAGACGAACTTTAGGTGACTGTCCAGGCAGCCAATTGTCTCTGTTGTTAGGTAATATTAATTCCTTCTGGGGTCTTTGATGGAGTTAAAGACTAAATAATTAGAGTTATAGTTCTCCTTAGTTATGATAGAAAATTAATTAGGTGTAAAACTTTGGATTCACTAAGATAGGATAGATAATGGAGTATTTTCTTTAAATTTGCCAGACACAAATGAACTGGACATTGTGAATGTAATAATCCTCAATTGATAACTGTTCTTATTGTATATAGTCTTATTATGTGTAAGTTAAAACCTTTTTTTTATTTAGACAAAAAGCAGGAAATGTTATGCAGCATTAATTTAAGATGTGTTACATTCATTTATGCTGTGGAATATTTGTTTAATGATGCAAAGATGTGTTACATTTGTTTAATTAAATAAAATTAACCTGGGATCAGGAGACTGAGTTAGCAACTAGCTGACAGGAAGTAGTAAGGAGGAACCATGTGTAGCTAGGGTTCTTAAGTGGGGGCTGAGCAGAAGGACAGGCTGTTTTGGGGGAGCCATGAGCTAGGAGAGAAGGTTAGCTACTTGCAATTCAGCTTCTCTGAGGGAGCAGAGTTTGACCTCAACATTTGAATCCTGAGTTCTCTAGAGAGACAGAGATCTAGATAAAGTTCCCTTCAGCAGCAGTGATAGAGCTGGTGCCTGAGGGGACAGAATTCCTGCTACAGCCAGGGGACCTGACTGCTGCTGGTTGCAATTGCAAATTAGGACAGAAGTTGCTTAAGGTGCAGCTACTGAATTTAATGAAAAACAACAATGCATTGGCTCCATTTCCTTCAGAGCCCCAGCTCTCAGTAACCAGGGAGTCCCTTGAGGGCTATAGGTAAAAGACACTGTAGTAGCCAGTGAGAGGACACGCTGTTAGGACTGTCACTTTCTGTACTCCGTAAAAAGGGAGACACTGTTGCTTCAATTTCTCAGTTCCTTCAACTGTAACCTGTTCCATAGCCATGCTCTGCCTTGACATATGTCCTTCTGTGAGACCAGAAGAGAAGTCCACATTGCCATGGCAGCCAAAGCTATGTGAACTCAACTTCCTAACCTCTGCTTCCTCCAAACTGTTTGTGCTTTGGCCAGGTGGTTTCCTATCAACCAAGCAGCAGTTTAGAGCTTTCAAAGAATGGTCTCTAAAATGTCATGTTGAGCATTTTCCACTTTCATCATGGTGGGTGTGGGAGTGGTACCAATAACTTGTCACCATCACTGAAGTCCTCAGGATATTCTTTTCATAAATGTTTTATTTTCCAGCCAAGGGAGCAACCAGTGGAGGTTTCCAGAAACTTGAGAACTTAGATCTTTCAATGAATCACAAGATTACAGAGGAAGGGTACAGACATTTCTTTCAAGCCCTGGACAACCTGCCAAACTTACAAGTGCTCAGCATTTCCAGGCATCTCCCAGAATCCATCCAAGTTCAGGCCACCACTGTCAAGGCTCTGAGTCAGTGTGTGTCCCGACTGCCCAGGCTCACCAGGCTTGAGATGCTCAGTTGGCTCCTGGATGAAGAGGACATGAAAGTGATTAATGCTGTGAAGGAGAGACACCCTCAGTCCGAATGCTTGACTGTATTCTGGAAATGGATAGTTCCCTTCTCTCCTGTCATTCAGAAGTAAAGGATGAAGCCAAAGGCTACCAGTGGTTCTAGAAACCCAATTTTCCAATGCATCTCACTCTAGCTGAGGGTGGGATAACGCCAGAATTTAGGACACTGAGGCAGGAGATAACAGCTTGGATTATATAGTAAGACCATGCCTCCAAACCAAAACCAATAACAAACCATTTTACTAGTGATTGCATGTACAAGACTGCTTATTAATTATGGAAGGCTGATAATTTTTCCATTATTTTTATTTTGTATGGATGGGTGTTTTTGCCTGCATTTATGTCGGTGTATTACATGGGTGTCTGGTGTCTGCAGAGGACCAAAAAGTGTATTGAATGCCCCAGGGTCTGGAGTTATAGATGGTTGAGGGTCTCCATTTGGGTTCTGGGAACCGTACCTTGGTCTTACAAAAGCAACAAGTGCTCCTAATCCCTGAACCACCTCTCCAGCCCAAGTCCGATGATTTATTAAAGCCTGCATGCCCATCATTGAACTTAGGAGCTATGATGAGCTATCTTCATATGGTCCTTCTGTCTGAAGACTAGAGCTTCACTCAAGTTCATACCTAGAACCCTCCATTGCCAAAGTCAACAGGAATGGGTGGGGAAGGGAGCATTGATCTATGTAAAAGCCACAATATGAAGGAGTATTTGATGAAGGTAAGATATGGTCAGTCCCACCCATGATGAAGCATGAGTCGACTTTAGCACAGGATGCAGACAACTCTTTGCAGAGATGCTCTTTAGTCTTTGCAGGCTTCTGTATAGTCACCAGCCTTGGTGTGGCCATGCTTGCTCACACCATCTCCCATCCATTGCCAATGTGAGGAAGAAAGTGGGCTTAGAGAAAACTGCTTTTGTTCCAGAGGCTTTTGAGAGCTTTGCATGTGATGTAGTGGTCTCACGGTTTTCTTAGGAATCCACGGTACTTGGTATATATGCTTCTATCTAGTAAGGGCTTCTTGATATATTCATGTGGTAGTTTGAATAGGAATGGTCCCCATAGGCTCATCTATTTGAATGCTTGGTCATCAGGGAGTGACACTATTAGGAGGTAATGTGTCACTGGGGGGTGGGGTTGTTTTGGGGTTTTAAATGTTCAAGCCAGGCCTAGTCTCTCTCTCTTCCTGCTGCCTGCTGATCTGGCTGTAGAGCTCTGAGCTACTTCTCCAGCACCACACCTGCCTGCATGCACGATTTTTCCTGCCGTTATGAAAATGGACTAAATCTCTAAAACGGTAAGCCAGCTCCAATTAAATGTTTTCCTTTATAAAATTTGCCATGATCATGGTGTCTCTTCACAGCAAAAGAGTATTGACTAAGACAATGAATTAACTTGATAATAATTTATCATATCACAATATATATTGAAACATCATGATGCACTTGCCTGGTATACTTCAAATATGCATACTGTTGCAGGATATTTGATCACACTATGAACCCCAAGATTGCATTATTCACTTGAAAAACCTGTTTCTAGGTGTGGTATGGTTCAGCCCTAGCTTATATCTTTAATCTAAGAGCTTTCTGCTTGAATATTGTAAATAGGATTAAATAAAGTCAACCATAGGTCAAGAGGTGGAGCAAGTAACCACTTTACAGGAGGTGAACCTAGGAAAAATGATAACGAGTAAGAGGGAGTCAGGAGGATGGATAGAGACACACAGGAAGTAGAAGGGAGGGACATTCAGTGTGAGGAGTTTTGTTTGAGACAGCACAGGAGAAAGCTCTCATGGGGGGAAGGTCAGCTGGGTGCTTTATCTGCCTCTCTGGGCTAGCAGAGAAAAAAATTCAAAAACAAGAGTAAAAGGAGTGAGAACTTTGTGTTTTGAGTTGGGAATCTATGTAAGGTGATAAGAATAAAATCACTAAAGTGAAGATCCCATTGGATCCTGGTGGCTTTTTAGGATAGATCAAAAATAGTCCATGTGCACAGACACATGATAAGTAAAATCATTTTAGAAAATTTAAAAGAAAGAAGAAGACAAGGAGGAGAGTGTGGGAGGCAGGTATTCACATACAGATGTTAGTGGAGGAGAGTGTGGGAGGGAGGTGCTCACATACAGATGTTAGTGGAGGAGAGTGTGGGAGGGAGGTCCTCACATACAGATGTTAGTGGAGGAGAGTGTGGGAGGGAGGTATTGACATACAGATGTTAGTGGAGGAGAGTGTGGAAGGGAGGTGCTCACATACAGATGTTAGTGGAGGAGAGTGTGGGAGGGAGGTATTCACATACAGATGTTAGTGGAGGAGAGTGTGGGAGGGAGGTATTCACACACAGATGTTAGTGGAGGAGAGTGTGGGAGGGAGGTATTGACATACAGATGTTAGTGGAGGAGAGTGTGGGAGGAAGATGCTCACATACAGATGTTAGTGGAGGAGAGTGTGGAGGAGGTATTTGAAGGGTTCACAACACGGCCCCATGGTCGGCATGTTTGCATATGCCCGGCAGACACTTCTGCCTAGCCAGTTCCAGGTCAGGATAGCCATTTCCGGGTCAGGGCGTCTTGAATGACCAGGATCTGTTATGTTTCATGGCTATGTAAGCGCGCAGCGTGGTCATGTAATCTACTCGCATGCGTGGAGTAGTGACGTGACCTGTGCACGCCCAGCCTTTAAAATCTGGTGCCATGCTCCCCGTTCCTTCTTCTTCTCCACACGCGTGTCTCTCCCACCGGCCTGCACATTCTCTGTCCCTTTATCTTTAATAAAATTCTTATTAGCAGATTCTGTCGTGTTTTGTGACATTTTCTTACAGGGTAAGAGCACAACATGGCCAATTAACTAACAGTATCACACACAGATGTTAGTGGAGGAGAGTGTGGGAGGCAGGTATTCACACACAGATGTTAGTGGAGGAGAGTGTGGGAGGCAGGTATTCATATACAGATGTTAGTGGAGGAGAATGTGGGAGGGAGGTGCTCACATGCAGATGTTAATAGAGGACTCTGTACCCTGGCTTATGCTGTGCTCTGAATGTGAAAAGTCTCCTACAAGCAGCTCATGTGTCTGAGCATTTGGTTTCCAGCTGGGGTGCCATTGATAAGATGTTGGGACCATTAAGAGGTGGAGCCTGGTGGAGGAAGTGGGTCACTGGGGACAGGCTTGAGACTTTATAGCCTGGTGCCACTTCCTGTCATTTTCTCTGCGTCCTTGCTGCTGACACCACTGACTTCCTGCTCCTGACACCAGGTCTCCTGTGCCCCTGTGGAAATATTTCTTCAAACTGTAAGTCAGAATAAACCTTGTTTTCTGTGATCTGCTTTGTCAGAATATTTCATCCCAGCACAGGAAAAGTCACTACAGGCTGTTCTAGTGAAAATGAAAGCAACTAAGCAAAGCCTTAGGCTGCCAAGTCAGGGCCAGTTCCTTCTTTACAGGGAGGGAGCAGGATGCTAGAGTGGGGCGATTGTGTCCATAGATAAGAACATGACCTTTGTCTCATGATCACTAAGGAGACCGTAGTGGGGGACTATCCAGAGACAACTGTAAAAATACCTAGAAAAAAATAAGAAAAAATAACTAAAAATTAAGAGTTGAGTAGCCCGAGGATTGAGAGAACTCCAGAGGGACCCTTGCTGGGGTGGATTTTACACAGTAGTGAGAAGAACTCTTTATGGTGCATTAGGTGTTGTCAGATGTGTAACTGCTCCAAGGGAAACCTCTACTAGGTGTCAGATGAAAGAGCATGCTTCATTGAAAGACCCGTTTTAGTTAGGAAAGCACATGCCTGCTCTCCAGAACTTCAAAGGCGGAAACAGGAATCGCTGTCATCAGAACTGGGCTGTGGGCAGTCTGTGGGGTATTTCCTTGGTGTTAATCGATGTGGGAGGGTCCAGCCCACTGCGGGCAGTGGTGCCCTCAGGGCATGTGGTCCTGTGTTGTATAAGAAAATAAACCAGTCCCAGCAAAGGCAGGCAGATCTCTGATTCAAGGCCAGCCTGGCCTGGTCTAAAATGCAAGTTCCAGTGCATCCAGGGCTACACAGAGAAACCCTGTCTTGAAAAATGAACTAATAAATAAATAAATAAATAAATAAATAAATAAATAAATAAATAAATATAATAATAAAAAAGGTAGAGAAAAGAAATTAAGCTAAGAAAACTATGGGAAGTTAAGCCAGTAAGCAACACTCTTCCACAGTCTCTGCTTCAGTGTTTACCTCCAGTTTCCTGCGTTTAGTTCCTGCCCTGATTTCCCTTGATTGTGAACCACGTTGTGGGATAGTTGTTTACACAGTATGAAGATATCAATGTGATTGGTTTAATAAAGAGCTGTGTGTCCAATAGCGAGGCAGGAGAGAACAGGTGGGTCTCCTGGGGAAAGAGAGGAACTTGGATGAATCTAGGCACTCTAGAAATGATAGCAAGACAGAGTCGGGCACACAGGATGGAAGAGAGGTAAATAGCCATGTGGCAGAATGCAGATTAATAGAAACAGGATAATTGAAGTCCTAAGAGCTAGTTGGGAACAGGCCTAAGCGAAAGGCGAAGCTTTCATAATTAATAATAAGTCTCTGTGTCATTATTGGGGAGCTGGCAGTCCGACAAGGACGTTCAGCTACAGAACCACCACTGTAAGCAGAAATAAACCCTTTCCTCCTATGTTGCTTTTGGTCATGGTGCTCATCACAACAAAATAAAACTAACCAGAAGACCAATCACCTGCTTTCCTTGTCCTCCCAGAAAATGGCCACTCACGGGGAGGCCTCCGAGGAGCGGATTTCCGAGATTGATTATGAGTTTCTCCCTGAACTCTCTGCTCTTCTCGGTGTGGATGCAGTCCAGCTCGCAAAGAGTCAAGAAGAAGAAGAGCATCAGGAACGAATGAAAATGAAGAAAGGTTTTAACTCGCACATGCGCAGTGAGGCCAAGCGATTAAAGACTTTCGTGACCTATAACACGTTCAGATCATGGACGCCACAGGACATGGCAGCCGCTGGGTTTTACTTTACCGGGGTGAAACTTGGGGTTCAGTGCTTCTGCTGCAGCTTAATCCTCTTTGGTACCAGCCTAAGGAAAACTCCCATAGAAAGCCACAGGAGATTCCGTCCAGGATGCGAGTTCCTTTTGGGCAAAGACGTCGGTAACATCGGCAAGTATGACATCAGGGTGAAGAGTCCCGAGAAGCTGAGAGGTGGCAAAGCAAGGTACCAAGAAGAGGAGGCCAGACTGGAGTCCTTTGAGAACTGGCCGTTTTATGCCCATGGGACATCGCCCCGTGTGCTCTCAGCAGCTGGCTTTGTCTTTACAGGTAACTGGATTCTATCATATGAGGTGTTTCTGTAAAACATAAAGTTTAGTTTCATGTTTTTATTTGTGATATTTGTAAATTTTTAACTGTTGCATTAGCTATAAGTATTTCATTAAAATTTAACAACTAGTATAGCATTATTAGCTTACCCCATATGTATAAAATAAAAGGTTACCTTTCTTTAAATGTGGACATTAGAAAATATTACTATTCATAATAGCAAGAACCTGGAAACAACCTATATGCCCCTCAACTGAAGAATGGATAAAGAAAATGTGGCACATATACATGATGGAATACTACTCAGCAGAGAAAAACAATATCAAGAAATTTGCAGTCAAATGGATTGAACTAGAAAATATCCTGAGTGAGGTAACCCAGACTCAGAAGGACAAACATAGTATGTACTCACTCATAAGTGGATACTAGTTGTGAAGGAAGGGATGCCCAGGCTGCAACCCACAGCTCCAGAGAGGCTAGCTAACAGGGAAAGACCCTAGGAGGGACACATGGATGACCCAGCGAAGGAGAAGTGGATGAGATCTACATGAGCGGACTGGGTGTGTGTGTAGGGGGTTGTGGCAGAGGGCGAGGAATGGGGAATGAGAACATAGGGAAATGGGAGGGTCAAGGTAGAACAGGGACAGAGTGGGAGGGCAGGGAGGGAGATACCATGAAAGATGAGGACATCAGGGGAAAAAGAAGAGGCAGGGTGCTGGGGAGGTTTTCAGGAACCCATAAGGATGTCCAGAGAGTACCTGGACTGGTCTACTCTGGTGACTAGTCTA